ACAAAAATTCAGAATATTAAAAAAATTTAAAAACAATATAAAAAAAAGTATAAAAGATATGAAGAATAAAAAAAATAAAAAAAATAAAAAATACATAAAAAACTAAATTGATATTAATTAAAAATATAATATAAAAAATATAAACAAATTGAAAATATTTAAATCATTTGTAAAATTAAAAATACCTAAAAAATATAATAAATATAAGAATTATAAAATATATAATAGTATTTAAAAATATAAAAAAGTATGAAAAAAATGTGGAATACAAACAAAAATAATTATTAAAAAGAAATAACGGAATTAAAATAAATAAGGTCAAAAATAAGAAAATAAACATAATTAAACAGAAAAAAATAAAATAATTGTAGATAAAAAAGGAAATTAAAAAAATGAAAAGCTAAATAACTAAAAAATACTAAAGCAATGTAATGAAATACAAATAAAAAATTAAACAAAAGAATAAAAAGTATATAAGAACATAAATAAATTGCAAAATAGCAAAAAAAATTTGGTAAAATATAATGAGATATTATTACGCTTTAGGGTTCTTATTAATGTACATAAATATTTGAAAATCAGCAACCCGCTCTAATAGTCTTGTTCTCCCTACTACATGTCTATTTGTAGATTTTGAAATTGGATAAATTCCAATTCACGCGGTTTCATTAAATTATATCCATATACGAGTATGTTAATTAATGAATAAAATTACGTTAAGATTTCACTTTTGTGACAATTCAAAGACTAGCTGCGCATATTAACCGTTACATGCATATACACATTTATATGCATGTATGTATATAGATCCATTTACATAGATGAATTTCTTACTGTCTAGATTTCTAACAAAGTAATATAATTAATCTTCTATACTTCGACAATTTGTTATAGTAAGTCATACCAAAATATTTTTAACTGTAACTAGTACATTGTGAACTAGTTGGGCAAATAGTCTGCCTAAGAGACACTCGCGCTTTGTTGGCTCCAACACTGGATTAATATCTAAAAGTGTCTACATTATTCACAGTTACTCTCACTTTTTCTTTTTGAGATTTTATATGCATACAGACATGCATATCTACATATGTACTTATGTATATACAATATATAATAAGTAGGGTAGAAATCATTTTTCTTTGCATTCAGAATCACTTTTCATTTTATTATATTTGACATTGAAAAGTGTTTGCCACAACTATGAATAAAACTAAATATATGTATATACATTCACCGTTAGTGTTGCACGTCGTTTAATCATATTGATGACAGCCGCAGGCGTATTGGAGGCATATGCATATCATAGCCACCGGGTGGACATTCATCTATATATAATATGTTTGTCAGTGTTTGTTTGTATGGAAGTGTGCTATAACTGTATACACATTTATGCATACATATTAAGTATAACTGCACATCACTTTTATAAATTATAGAGCTTTTATACTCTTGCATTGAGTGCTGCATAACGGCTCAGCTAACGATCCGAAACCCATCAACGTCCAGCATGAGATTGCTTACATACATACATATTGCGGATTTTTACGCAAAAGTGTTGATTCATATATGTGGGTCGGTTTCGTTTGTATACTCGTGTATATTTATTTTTAAATTCTTTTTGCAATTTTCATTTTGTGTTATTCTTATCTGACAGCAATGCCTAGATATGTAAGTATGTGCATATATATATTTGTGTATATGTCTGTATGTGAGTTGTTGAGTTAAGTTTGTTGTTGAATGAATTTTAAGTAGCCGAAATCCATCTAACAAATTTATAGACCAAATTAAATATCACAAGTGACAGTTGAACGACGAAATATGTATATAATTTCATAATGTATTTATATATTTAACATATTTAAAAATCAAACATCACCCAATGCTAAATCCAGCAGATCAGAAGAATTAAAAGTGGAAAAACTTTTATACAATTCTAAGAAAGTTAATTAAATAATAGCTTTGTAGCCTCAGCGCACTTTTGAGCAGTAGACTCATGTCGACTTTCAATCGATAGTGTGCACATTCAGCGATTAAACCGCACACATATCTCTTACTTTTTATGTATTTACTCTTATTTATTTTCTTTTTCAATGCCTGCCTACTATTGATTAAATTATCTAGGGTTAAAAGCTAAGTAAAAAATCTCATTGACCGATTGTTGAACACACCTATTTTTTGCCAATGACACACTGGTAAACGTGAAATACCGGCATTTGTTAATTAAATGGACTTATCAAGCTTTGTTGCGTATCATCACGCATATCCACGCCTGCACATGTGGAAAGTGCGACTTTAGACGTAAGAAAAAATGTATTTACATACATACATACATAATGCTTTATGTACAGCACAACAGTACGGAGCAAAATAAACGCAATAATTGGAAATTATACAAATTTTCAATAACTGAACAAAAAATAAAAATAACAAAAAAAAAACAGAAAAACTGATAAAAAAAATAATAATAATAAATAAACAAAGTAGAAATAAACGGAAAAAATAATATTTAAACAAATAAAAAAAAAACAATAATAAATTAAAAATAGGAAATAAATAAAAAAGTAAAATAAAATATAAAAATAAAATAAATATAGAAAAGGAAAAACGTATATGTATTAAAATAATAAAATTTAAGGATTTAAATAATAAAAATGAATTATAATAATAAAAACATAAGTATTAAAACAATAAAAAATAAGTATTAAAACAATAAAAAATAAGGAATAAAAAATAAAAAATAAGGATTAAAATAACTAAAAAATAAGATTAATAAAAATAAAAAAATGAAAATAAAAATAAAAAATGTAAATAGAAATAAAAATAAAAAAATGTAAATAAAAAAATAAAAACAAAAAATTAAAATAAAAAAAAAAACAAGAAATGAAAATAAAAAAAATAAAAACAAAAAATGAAAAAAATTTAAAAACGAAAANAATGAAAAAAAAAAATAATAAAAATAAAAATAATAAAAAATAAAAATAATAAAAAAAAAATAAATAAAAACAAAAAAATTAAAATAAAAAAAAATGAAAAAAAAATTAAAATAATAGAAAATAAATACAAAAATAAAAAAAAATAAATATAAAAATAGAAAAAAATAAGTATAAAAATAAAAAAAATAAAATAATAAAACTGAAATTAAAAAATATAAATAACAAAATATAAAAATAAAAATAAAAGTAAAAAAATAAAAAGAAATAAAACAAATTAAAAAAATAAAGAAAAAGAAAAAAATAAATTAAAAAATAAAGGAAAGTGAAATAAAAAGAAATAAATAAAAAAGAAATATTAAAAAAAATAAGTAAAAAAATAAATTAAAAAATAAATAAAAAAGTCAAAAAAAAAAATAAAAAATAAAGTCAAAAAAATAAAAAATAAAGAAAAAGAAATTAAAAAATAAAGGTAAGTAAAATAAAAAATAAAAAATAAATAAAAAAGAAATAATAAAAAAATAAATAAAAAATAAATAAAAAAAGTCAAAAAAATATAAAAAAAAAATAAAAAATAAAGAAAAAAATCAAATAAAGAAACAGAAAAAAAAAAATTAAATTACAAAAAATGTTTACGATTTTTAACGCGAAATCATAAAAGTTATCTCTTTACTAATTTTTTCCTTACCACTGTACACAAGTACCCTGAAGAGAAAAACCGAGTGGTATGCAAATAATCTAGTTTCATACTAATATCTTAAAGATGAAATCATACGAGTGCGTTATTTGTAAAGAAGTCCACCAGTAACGGGAGAACTAACCGTTTGTTGTTCTATTGAAGTGCGCAAAATGGCGTTGATTGTGACATCGTCATGATGGCCGAGTGATTAAAGACTGTAGCGCGTTAGGCTTCCTGTTCGAGATGCACTAGAGGCGAATTCATTTTTTATTTTAATTCCTTTTTAAATTTTGATGAGCCGGAAAATTTCACCACTCCGTCATTCGTATGTTGTTTTTGTTTTTAGTACGCCACAACTGAGATTAATTTTCTAAAAAGTTCTGTTGAACTGCGCAGATTTCGTTGCTCTATACATCATAACGATAGCCTAGTGGTTAGAGGTCTTCACTGTGCTGCGTGAGGGTCTCGCTTCGTCATCGCCGTGTTAAAAATACTAGTTGCTTGCATGGAAAATAGTTGGAAGATTATTTATTTAATGTAGAAATGTAAACTAGTTGGATTTTTGTTGACAACTAGTATTTTCTCCTGCAGGGTATATATGTATATGCACATATGCGCCTCCACGCATACTTTGAGCCTGCAAAAGCTGCGTATCAGCTGACAAATGGCACTCAATGGAAGGGTAATAAAAGAAATGCTAAACAGCTCACCGCCAAACCCACCGAGCAACAACAAGCCACCAGGTCAATAAGTTTCCATGACCGTCGTGCGACATCAACAATGCCATTATATACATTATACATTTATATTTACTCAGCACATTTTCCGCTAGAAATTTTCACTGCTATGTTTTAAAAATTGTATCAGTGTTTGCGACCGTATTTTGGTTGCGCCTCTTAATGTTTCCAGCTGGTTGGTAGATGTGGGCTGACGGTTAGCTTTTCCACTGCAATTCGTTCGTTTTCGTATTTCGGTCACCGACAACGCGCGTTTCACATTTTCACGGAATATTTTCGAAGCCATTTTTTTTTTATAAAATATTTTATTGTGTGAATTTCAATGTTTTCTCCTCACCCTGCTTGGCTACGCGGTGTTTCGGAAAAATAATTTTTTTTTGTGTTTTGAGTTGTTCAAAAAAAAAAAAAAAAACAAAAAAACAAGACAATAAATACATAAATTATAATAATAATAATAAAATAAAATATTATTAGTGGCGTTAAGCAAGCAAAAAACGCTCAAGAATTATTATTTAATACATATAAATAATATATAAAATTATAGCAAACTATTTAAAAATATAAAAACGAAAAAATCATTAAGCATACAAATATCAACTAGTGCCACGTACAATGCGTAAATCGATTACTAAACGTCTCTCTATTTCACTGCAGGACGAAAATCGCTGTCTATTGGACCGTTTCATGCGCTACAAATCGAAGGATGCTGACAAGTTGAATGAAGAGAACGAGAATTTCCTCAGGTGAGTGTGTATGGTGTGTGAATTGTTGTTATTGTTCTTGTTTTGTTGCTGTTGTTGTAATTAAAAAAATTTAAATTTGCAAATATTTCCCTATCGTATGCTAAAACTAAACTTTGCGTTTGAAATTTGCTTCTTTAAAAAACAACTCTTTTGATTTTTTCTAAAAATTTTCTTTGAAAATAATTAAATAAATACATTACAATACACTATTGTTTTGACAATACTTTAATTTTTTGCAATTCTTAGTTTTAAAAGAAAAGAAAAATTGTGCGTCATCAAAAAATCGACATTTATAGTATTAAATTTTATTAAAAAAAAAAAATAATAATTAAATGAGGCACTTATCATTTGGTTGATGGACATTACATTTCTCTTAATTAAAATATTTTAGCTAAACACTTGTGGATGTGGGCTAAGAAAAAAGAATACGTATTAAAATGAAATACTAAAATAGGAGTGCTTTCTCTAAACCTTATAGCAAATCAATTTTTCACCAAATAATAATAATAATTGTTTTTGTTTTCAATACAAATAATAATAAATATTTTAATACAAGCAAATTTAGCAAGGTTGACGCGCGCGCCATTGGCAACATGTGTATTGGAGACAAGATATACTAAAATAAAATAGAAAAAGAACGAAACTCATTTGGAATGCGGTCTCATGTGGATTATGTGGAATGTGTGTGTTTTGTGCTCGCTCGCTCGCTCTCAACTTTATTTGTTTATCATACATTTAATATACCTAAGTATATGTAAGAATATATGTATGTAGTGAATTATTTATTTATTGGTAATTAATTTTTGATAGTTTTTATTTTTGGAAATGCCTATTTCATCTCATAAATCGTTTTACATGCCGCTAATGCATCTCTTATTTTTCATTTTATAGCACATACATTTGTATTGTATATCGCGGCAGCAATTTGTTTACATTCGAAAAATTTATCATTATGAAACAGCGGTAATTTTGTTTGATTGGTAACAAGCTGTGGTAAAAAAAGATAATTTTTTCTTGAAAAGATTTTTGGCGCGGGAAACAGTAAGAACGTTTTTGTAAAATATGTAAATGAAAAAGAAATTCAATGCAATTCACAAAAAAAAAAATATATATATATATTTACATCATAATGTTTTGTGTACACAAATTTATATCCAGTTTTTGTTGTACAGAGTTATCCATTTTTCGCTTTCGAAAGTAAACGTAAATAAAATGAATTACAATTTTTTTTTTCATGAAATTCTCTTTTTATTATAATGTTTGAATCTTGGCGTTACATGCAAAACTCTACATCATTGAAATGACCGCCTCCCAAATTTTCGCAAACTTCAAACCGTTTGAGTTAATTTTCGTCCACTTTTCGGTACATATTGGGCGCTATCTCAGCCACAACTTGACATATGTTGGTTTTCAAATGCTCAAGGACAAAAGTTTATCCGCTTAAGCACAAACCATCTCGCTGGCCGATTGACCTCGCCAAGACGAGAGACTATGCGGCCGGCAAGTTTCTCTCACAATAAAGCCATATTCACTTGTGTTCTGTTGCGCCATCTTGTTGAAACCACATAGTCCAAGTCGTGTGCTTCAGCTGCAAAGTCAAAAAAGTCAATTATCAACCGGCCATAATTGAGGATTCTCGGAACCCCAAGTGAGTTAATTTTGTTTAGTTTCGTGATCTCCGAGTGAGAAATGTGTCTTGGCGCTCATGAAATTTTTGTTCGAAAAATCACCCTCCACTGCTTGTGGTTCAAGCACCCAATCGACGTATAAACGGTGTGGACGGCTGGCTTCAGTTCTTGTGTGAACTGGACTGTATAAGGATGAGCGTAACTCCAAGTGTAAACCATATGGTATAATGTATCGTGGGAAAGTTCCAGCTCTTGAGAACTTCGAGAAATAGATACATTCCCGTCGTCAGTTCCATTTTTAATTGCAGTGGCGATATTTGAGCTGGAACGCGCAAAGCGATAATGCACAGGCCTTACAATATCCGTCTCTTCAAAATCCCTTAAATTTTTACCAATCGCTTGTGTAACATAATATCCACTTAAAGCACGAAACGTTACCATCTTTGAATCCCCATTTTCCCAGTAGGTTTTAAGAATTTTAATGCGCTATGCGATTGCTAAGTGACCCATTTTCATAAATGCCGAACTTTTAACCAAAAAAAAAAAAACATTTTTTAATTTGACAATTTGGCTGAAAATAAAGCCGAGTACTTTTGAAAGCACGAAATGGATGATCTTATTTATTTAGACTCATGTTCCAATTAAAATCGGAAATCGCAAAATGTAAATTTCTAAATGAAACTTTTAGTGGTATTTTCTCAAGTCATTTCGTGTATTTTTACATTTTTTGTTGTTGTCTAATTTTCGAAAAGTGAACGTAAGGAAATTGCTTTTAGAATACATTTCGTGTTGTCTTATAAAATACTAGCATGTACATATATACATATTTATATTAGAAATGTAGCGATAATAATGTCTTAGTGCTGGCCAACGTTTCATTACATATTGGGTTGCCCAAAAAGTAATTGCGGATTTTTCATATAGTCGGCGTTGACAAATTTTTTCAATGGCTTGTGACTCTGTGATTGCATTCTTACTTGTGTCAGTTATCAGCTGTTACTTTTAGCTTGCTTTAGAAAAAAAGTGCGCGAAATTTTGTTTACATTTGTTTGTTTGGCGTCAATTTAAATATGGGGCCCACAAAGGAGCATTTTCGTCATATTTTACCTATTATTTCCGTAAAGGAAAAAACGCGGAGCAGGTTGCTAAAAAGTTGCGAGATGTGTGTGGTGATGAAGCCTTAAAAGGAAGACAGTATCAAAATTGGTTTCGCAAATTCCGTTCTGGAGATTTTTCACTTAAAGATGAGCCACGTTCAGGTCGGCCAAATGAATTTGATGATGACCAAATCAAAGCATTAATCGAATTGGATCGTTATGTAACTGAGCGTGAGATAGGAGAGAAGTTAAATATACCAAAATCAACCGTTCATTATCACACAAAAAGTTTTGGACTGGTGAAAAAGCTCGATATTTGGTACATTGAAGGAAATTCATTTAATACACCGAATCAATGCTTATGATATGCACCTTAAACGCAATGAATTCGATCCGTTTTTAAAACGAATCATAACTGGAGATGAAAAATGGATTGTTTACAACAATGTTAGTCGAAAACGATCATGGTCCAAGCATGGTGAACCAGCTCAAACCACTTCAAAGGCTGATATCCACCAAAAGAAGGTTATGCTGTCTGTTTGGTGGGATTGGAAGGGTGTCGTATATTTTGAGCTGCTTCCAAGGAACCAAACGATTAATTCGGATGTTTACTGTCAACAATAGGACAAATTGCCACTCGCCAAAAACTGAGTGAGCTTGTCTGGGAACTTTTGATGCATCCACCATATAGCCCCGACCTTGCACCATCAGACTACCATTTATTTCGATCTTTGCAGATTTCCTTAAATGGTAAAACTTTCGGCAATGATGAGGCTATAAAATCGCACTTGGTTCGGTTTTTTGCAGGCCTGAAGTTCTATGAGCGTGGAATACTAAATTTGCCAGGAAGATGGCAAAAGGTTATCAAACAAAATTGCAATTATATATTTGATTAAAGTTCATTCTAAGTTTTATTAAAAATGCATTTACTTTCTTTCAAAAAATCCGCAATTACTTTTTGGGCAACCCAATACAATACATATATGTATGTATATGACAGTATGTATTTGCGTACAAATTTCCTGTTCACTTTTTTGAATTAATGGTATTTATTGGTATCCAATATGGGCTATTTTTAAAGTTGTAAACATTATTTTTTTTTTTTGAAAACTTTCGTGACCCTTGAATTTATTATATTTTTTACGTCACACAAATACATTAAAATTTTTATCTTTTTCGAAATATTTGGCAACAGCGTTGGCTATAAAATTTATGATTGCTTTAATGTTCTATTTATTATTATTTTTGTTGATCAGTTACAACTTTCATTACTAAATAAATAGAATTTTGTTTTTCATCTAATTACATTGATTTCGCAATCATAAATTTTTCACAGCCTCTTTCTCTCGAAAATTCCTAGTTACGACCTGTCGCATGTCGTCATCGTCTGCACTGCTCCTCAGGCCCCGAAAATGAGCGACCTGCGAGAAAGGAATTTTCTTTCCGATTGTCTACACTGTCGAAAGAAGCAACTGTTGACAAAAATGTTTCTCGCTCACTGGTCGGCGAAACTTTGCACTTCCTTATGTAGTTTGGTGAAAGTAGTTGGACTGACGATTTAGTTGTTGAGAACGTTGATATGAATACTCTCGTTATTTAACAGTTCCTTTACCTCTTGTAGAACATTGTAATTTCCTTATTTAGTCTGAGAAACGTATTATATTTTTCAGCATTTTTTAAAACAAGTCAGACTGTGCGAAATCACCTTGTCCGAAACCACTTTTAGTCTCAAACGGCTCAACCCACTCCGTTTCTGAAAAAGCTTAGCTTCAGTTAGTTAGATTACAAAAACAATACAGGGATACCAAATTCAGTATACTTAATAATTTTTTCCATGAGTATTTGGTCACTGTTAGATATGTTAGGTCCTAAGTGTTAGGCATTAGCTCCAATCCGTTTGCTAAATGCGGGCTTTGGGCATCCACAAAGTATGCCAAAAAAGATCTTTGGAACTTATGAGAACAGTAGTGTTGAGAACTCTTATTCCACGATAATTGAAACCGATTGCTTGGCAACCCTTTATTATGGGTGTAGCAGAGTACGTTTAGGTTCGAAACGTCAGACACGCCTTCGTTCGTAAGCTCTTCGCCGCCATTCTGAACTTCGGCTGTAGAATCTCACAGCTTTGTTATTATTCAAAAGAGCTATCGATATTTGAAACTTCATCATTCATTTTATCGTCAACGCTTATGGGTTCGAACTTGAATTTTCCGCTGTTTTCATTACCACTGCAATTGAGCGAGTGTTCCCTCCGAAAATTCAATATGTTCTGAACAATGGTCTCAACAACTTACCACTGACTATGCTCCGACTTTAAGAACATTGTTTAAAGTATCACATCTTATGGAAGTCTCTGGTATCACCTCTCCTCATCAAGCTCTTGAAACTTCTCTAATTTACATACAGTTAACAAGGTCCATATGTAACCATTGCGATAAGTATCAAGGTAATTTTATAGGAACTGAGAATAAAATGTTTTTTTTCGACTCCTCTGTTTTTCTGTTAAATAAAAAGTACCACATTTATAATTAACTAGAGCTTGCCCGCAAGAGTTTTCCACATATTAGCCTAAGCAGAGAGCTTTCTATGCTTCAAATTTCTAGCGAATTCAACTATGAATATAATTCCCGATCTTTCTCGAAAAACAAATTTCTCCATCCAACTAAACTAGACATATTAAGTAAAACCAAACCATAGCATCGATTCCAGGTTCACTTCACGGAAAAAAAAGTGTTTCTAATGTTAATTAAGGTACTTCGAAATTCACGTAATCGAACCACAAATTCGATTATTCTCGCATAAATCAGTCCTAAGTCCACTTACCGGAAGAAAAAGTGTTTCCCATGTCATTTTAGGCTCATGTACCAAATTTTACGAAAATCGAACAACTTAAAACTAAATTCGATAATTTTCGGAAAGACCGGTGCTACGTAGACATCCAGGAAAATCCTTTCTTATCGGGTGCACACATCATACGGTCAGTCATTCAGAACAACCCGCATCTCATTCCAAAATGGTTCCATTGAGATCTATTTGAAGTTTTTACGTTGTTTCTTTTCTTAAAATCTATAAACTACCATGATAATATATAAAAGAAAGTAAAGTTTTCCACAAGTTAGTCCATGGCAAAGACATATGTTCGAAATAATAAGCTGAACCGTGCCATCGAATCGGCCTCAGGGCCACCACCCGGAAGGAAAACCGTTACCACGTTAATTTATGCAAAGTGTTATCTTTGGAAAAAATTTTCATGTCAATCAAACAATTTAAAAATAAATTCGATTTTTTTGAATCGATCGGTCCCAGGTCCACTTGCCGAAAAATCTCTACGACTTGTGGTTTTGACTGTGAGTTCATTCGACTGTCATTCAAGGCAAAGCATTTTATATATAGCGGCCGCGGTAGCCGAGTAAATAAAGATATAGATGAGGTCTTTACAATTCTACATGGCTGATTAATCGATAAATTACATATCGTTCATCTATTGTATTAGATTTTATATTATTAATAATAAACGTAAAGTGAAAATCTTTACTGCTCCAAAAAAAAAAAAAAAAAATGTTTTATAATCGTTAGAAATCGGTGTGAAAATAAAAAAAATAGCATCCAGCATGCACACAATTATTTTTCTCAACACCTCAGCATTATACTTAGAATTCTGATTGGTAATTTGGCATGGAATTGGTTTTAATTTAATCAAACAAAAAAAAATCGTCTATTTATGCATGTAAGTATGTACGAGGGGCGTTTAGTCGGAACTGCATGCCGTATAATTAAATTTACAATTAAAAATATAATTTATGGTGCGAATAAAACATAAGTAAATAGTTTCGTTCATACTTCCATCCGCTGTTTGTATTGTGCTGTTTATATTTATTATATTCGTACATATGTGTATGTTTGTTTGTTGTTTTATTATAATTTATTGCAATCTCTTATATGCCTTTGATTTCGAAAGTAATATTTTAATATATTAATAATACTTTTATTTAGCGCTACTTTTGTTATGAGAGCCATTTGAACATTTCATGCTCGCCCCATTAGTTAACCGCAGAACAAAATAGAAAAATCATTAAAAATACAAAAAAAAAAAATAAATAAATAAAACTCGCACACTAGAAAATGCATTTGCATCAACCTAATCGCATATCGCCTATGCCATATTCACACATACACATATATATTTCGTACACGACACTTACGACACTCACCTCATTCGGCTCATTTACCATCCTGTCACCTGTGTACCCGGCGCTTAATGGCTTAGCAAACAAAAATTGTTACACTCTTATACAGTAAAATATAATCGAACTAAAAAAGAAAAAAAAAATACAAAAAAAAGAAAAAAATCATAAAATTAATATTCTCAATTGTATAAACAACAACACAAGTAACGTTGATGATAGCCAAAAATGCATCAAAACACCACCAACGAAAAAGAAAAATTCAAAAAAATTAAAAAAAAAAAAAAATCCAAAAAATTTTCTTTAACTCTTTTGTTTTGTACAAACGTACCGAAAAACCACAACTATTTTCCTTTTCTTCTTCTTTTCTTTTTGTTTTCGAAATCATAAACAAACAATTGTGCACTCCCACTTTTAAATATCTAGAAAAAGACTGCCGTCAATTTTCAGAAAACGTTCGGACAAATTGAAACGTGATCTAGAAGACGCTGTCCGTGAGCCCAACTCAACAACACATCGCAACTCGGGTAGTCCATCGCAATTTGGTGACGAAGGTGATACCGCCTCGCTGACGAGTGCTGGTGCTGTTGCGTGCAATAACGGCGCAGTCGGTGGTTCTCCTGATTACTTTCAAAGCCTAGAGGAAATGTTGACACCATTGCCACTACCAAATTTTAATCCGTGTATAGTTTCCTCCTCAATACCAACAAATATCTTTATGAAATTCGAGGCGCACGACAACGAAACGCACGCCGTGAAATGGAGTCCCGTCGAACGTCTGGTGGCGACCGGTGGTGGCGATCGTAAGGTTAAATTGTGGGATGTGGGGAAAGGTGAGTAGAGTTGCTCAGTTGCTCAATCGCTGAGAGCATATTTTTGTGCCTTTATAAACTCATAATTTCTCTTCTTTTACTTCTTTCGCAGGTGCTCTTGAGCCGCGCGCCGTTTTGGGCGGCAGCAGTGCGGGCATTAATTCCGTTGATTTCGATTCGACTGGTAGCTATATATTAGGCACCTCAAATGATTATGGCGCACGTGTGTGGACGGTGTCGGATAATCGTTTAAGGGTAAGTGAAAATGGCGAAAGTGTCGAAAATGTCGTAAATGCTAAAGACAAACAGTCTGTCAATCAAAATAAAAATAATTATGAAAATATAAATGGAAAACACCAAAATGCTGCAGCACGTGGCGGTAACTGTGCAATAAATAGTCAAATGCTGAACGTCGATAGTCAGTATTTCGGATAGTGCTTAATTTAATGGCGTACGTTGTTGTAATAAACGCATCAGATATTTGGTTAGAATTCAGCTGTCGCTGTATAGTATATGTACATATGTCATTATGAGGCCGAAAATCACTTTAGCGGTTACCAATTATATACATATACCTACATATTTATTATAAGGGGAGAATTTATTAAGAAAATGTTTAAATATATAATTATCATTAAAGCATTTATTTGAGTTAAAAAAAAAATATGTCAAGAAGATTTAATTGAAAAAAGTTTTAAATAAAATTATTGTTTTAAAAAAACTTAAATATACTCATCTCTTCTACATCATTTACATTATTTAATCTCCATGAAAAATTCAAAAATTGTCAACGTTATGCATGTATGACTTGATTCATATTCAAAATACGGCATAATCCTTGCATCAGTAACATTTTGCATCTATTCATTGTCAGCAATAATTTCCATAAGTACAAAATACAAATGGCTACCCGAGTGGTTGTCAATTATTGGTAAAATTTTGAGGACAACCATCGAAGCTTAGAACGATTAAACAAGACATTTATTAGAAGCCGAAACTTCACCCATACACATCTGAAAGGGAAAATGGACTCTATTCAGTAACATTTATAACTGTTCTTCATAATTTAGCGGTGTAACAAAAACTTGCTTTTTAATTTTTTTTTTTTTTAAATTTTCCCACAAGCTATCGATTTGAGAATTTTGTGGCGGCGCTATAGCTCAGTTATGAGCGTCTATCTTGAACATTGCCTTGGTGGAGTAGCAGCTATTGAATAGTGTTGTTAAATTGTTGCTGTCTACAGTGGAATTTATAAAGTCAGGTATTTCATCCAGCGCTTACGGTGAAGAAGTGAAAAGGTATGGATAGGTGTAGGCTTAACTTTATCGTGTTCGTTGTGACTATTAGACAGGTGCTTAATTGCTATAATCTGCTCTCCACACCAATGAATTTTGGCTGCTCTTTCTCTGTAAATGTGTAATATCATTATGTCTCTCTCATAGAATCGAGTTTCACAGGCTTCTCTTGAGACCAATTTTTCACTAGTCAAAGCATTCACCATGGCAATACGGTCCATGGTATTTTTTCGTTAACTCATGTGGTACAATAAGGTTCTTTATGTATCCAACCTTTCTCAAGTGTTTCCAAATTTTTTTTTGTCATATTCGACGATTTCCATTATTTTAAAGACATTTTTGATAATTGGTCTTCTACACCGTGGAGCGCCTTTTACAAAAAAATTTCGGCACCAAATCGACGTAATCGAAATTTGTGCAATATTCACTGTTACGGTATCAGAACCAGATACACCATTCTCATTTTTAGCTGCTCTGTCTTTATCGAATAAAAAAATTGTAAAATATAGCGTATTTTCCCTTTGCTGGTGTTCATCTTTGAGATGTGCTCCAACACTAGTGAGTTAGGGGATCATCACTGTTGCTCGTTATCTTTTTTGAACAAAATATCATCATTCCAACGGCATCTAGCTTAATCTTAGTGCACTTATAGAACACGTGATACAGATCACTAAAGCCATCTATTGCAAGAATAATGGGTTACTTGATGCTAGACCAATATTTTATCAGAATTTTTTTTTTTTTTTGTTTTTTTTTTTGGAAAAGAGGGGCACTAAAATTGAGTTAATAGTGCAAAGAAAAGCAAAATTTTTATGTTTTCTTTATTTATTAATTTCATTAAAAAAGGAATACAAAATTATGAATTGTGTAAGAAATTTCGAATGACAAAGTAGTTTTAAATATTTAAGTTTTAAGTTTAGCACGAACAACCGTTTTAGGCCATATTATTATTTTATTTGTGTTAACTAAAATTATTATTATTATCTATAGCGACGGTTCATGACCGTTAACCGTAATATTATGAATAAATTATTTAATTGGAATTTTATATAAAATTGAAAAAAAAAATTAATTGCATTAAAATAAAAATAATTTAAATATAATTTATATTTTTTTTTATTATTGTCTGACATGTTGGAAAAAAGGACAAGTGAATAAGTTGTAGCGGTGTACAAATTAAGCGTAAAAACTATATAATAATTAAAAAATAATTTGATAAAATACAGATAACTGCACAGCTAAATTAAATTATATTGCATTCAATTACTAATTAAATATGTATGTATGTATGTATGTATGTATGTACTTAAGCGTTACTACAATATTTAATGTGTGTTGTATGCGTGTATATCTGTGTGTGTTTTAAGATTGCCTTATTACAAGGATTTCTGCGTCTTAATTGCCGGATTGCAAGTTTGACATTATGTTGCTGTTGTTTATTATTTGTTTGCAATGTACTTTCTAATTGTCGTCTTTAGACTACGAAATAAAACTTATTAAGTGCTTTAGAAATTGCTTTAAATTCAGCTTTTCTAATTATTATTATTCATTTCTTGTCTTCTTAGCTTAAACGCTATTATCTGCTGTGTCTAAAATCTACTTATAATTACTCTTCGCTTGCAGTTAAACTACGCATTAGTTTGCAAACCGATTTCTATCGTATTAGTTTTCTTTAAAACGTTCCATTTTCAATTTTGAAAATATTTCGTAAAGAAAAGTAATACAAATTTGAACTATCAGTCGTCCTTTTTTCTCATTCTAAACGCATTTCTACTATTTTCTACAATATAAGTATATGTATGTGTATGTATGCGTACGTTAAATGTAAATATTTTTTATTGCATTTGTGTCACTTTCGATAAGGCATTCAATTGGATTTGAACATGCTCTGCCGCAAAACTTAAAAACTAGTATTTTAGACTATAATTTTCTTCTCAACCTCTCGCTGACGTGCCTTTATTATATTAATAAGCTATTAAATAAGTAATTTATGCAATATTTGAATTCAAATATTGTCCACGAGATTTACTATATCCTGCACCATGTGAGTCTCATTTGAACGCACCACAATATCAACTTTTTCTAAGTAACTTTCTGCACCTGCCACCTAAGGTGGGTGCCATTTTCTTAGTCAGCTTCTCCCTATTCATTATTTTCCCTTTAATGGCTTTCTTTTTAGATGAAATTACTAACATTGAATTAAAAAGTACACTGTTATTCTTCCCGTGAAATTCCTTTCTTCTTCCTAGCGGCAAGAATTTTCGCTAATAGTTTAAACCCCCAAACCAACCAGTCGTCTAACTTCCACATTTCAATCTACTCAATAAATCCCTATAAGGTGGTTTATCGTTTTGATTTCATCGTTAAGCTGTTTTTGTTTGCCTTGTTGTTTTCTCTGCTACGCATTTCTTCCCGCCAATCTTAAAATTGACGTCCATGTCGTCCTGCGAAACCGCTATCATATAATTTACACAATGACTCCGATCGCGTATTGGGCACACTGGTTACCATTGTCGATCCGCCATTGTGTGAGCCATAACTGGAGGCGTTACTGAGGCCCTCATTGACGTAAGGTTGTTGTTTTCGGCGTCGCTGATGCAAGTAGGTCCAAATGGCAATGACGGCGAGTTGTGCGAGCAAAAAGATGGTAACGGCAACAATGAGACCTATGAATGAGAAAAGCAAAAATTGAAATTTCGAAAACTTTATCGCTTAATTTAATATAGTTTGTACCAATTTTGGCACAGTCTATCAGTCTAATAATAAAATTGACTTTACCCAGAAATTTAAGTGTAAATAAATAGACTTCAATACAATTTTGTAGTTGCTCCTATATAAAACCTTGTATAGCTGCTAATTGAAACCGCTAATCGAGTTTGTTTTGTCTTACGGAAATGCTGATTTTAGGCTTTGTTTTCTGAAGCAATGTAATATTATTGATTGGATATTATAATCTATTCATAGTTTTTTTTTTTTTATCAAATAATTATTCTGATTTTTGGTGTGCGACTTTGCTTAAGTGTGCCTAATTGTAGGCAATAGTTTTTAGATTTTTGCACACTAGCAATAAAACGTTTCCTATTTTTGGGAAGATGTTAAAAAAAAATAGTTCCCCTTTGTTTTATAGCTTCGCCTATACAGATTGAGAGAAATCAATCACGCGAAATAAAAAATTTAATTATTTTCACCTTGACTGAAGCCAAGATTTATCAAACCCCATTAAAATAATCAGTTTTTAATATTTACAATGGCGCCCGTGATTGTAATCCCTTTTTCCATTACCAAGCTTATGAGCTTATTTTTTCATGTATCGGCATTTTTCTCACAAACGCCAATAGCACACAGACACTGGCTCCCTTTGTTTAAACCTCTATTTATTCACATTGTCTGCTAATCTGTGAAAATAGACACCAGAGCTCTCACCCGTTATCAAGTTGGCACTATCTGTTACCAAACATATTGATTGTCCGCATTAACAATCGCCAACTGCGAAAGGCCCTTCACATATTTTTACTCAGCCAAAGTGTGCATAGCGTTGTTGCATGGCGACCATTTGAGATATCACAAGCAATTACGTCAACGCTTAACGCCTGAGTGACCAAAGCCTATAATGCCATGAACAGCATGCTGGCTTGTGGACAGACACGTCGCGGTGGCAATCTAACAATCGACTATTACATGCAACAAACTCCAACTACTGGCAACAATGTTGCTACCTGTGGCAGATCACTATTGTCTCACTTGATCTTGTCTAGCAAGAGCTTATAAATGCATCTTCATACCAAAGATTAGCACACACCTTTCGTGTTGTGGCTGAGTTTCCTCGTTTTATTGCTACACATTTTATTTACTTTTTGTGCTTTGTTGCTTTAGTAATTGCCTTTAGAATGTCTCGATTGCTTTGCTGATCGTTTGGTCCTACCTCGATCGTCATCAGTTACGCTTGTCGACGTCTCTACGTCTACACCCAGAAGCGAGTAGCTTACTTTGTATGCCGAGTGGATTGTCTTAGCACTTTGCTCTTGGCCTGTCTGTACTTAACCACTTCTATATGTCTGTTGGTTTGTTTTTGTCTTTATCTTTGCCTGTCGCCCTCCGCGCTGTACTTACCAATCGCATTAACACAGTACCCTTGTCCTGCTTCGCCGCTAATGAAAATCGTCTCATTGCTATCGTATGCCGTTGACTTGGGTTGTTGCTGCTGCTGTTGCTTATCGAAGCCAAATTTGTCAGTGATCTGAATTGATTGCACCAAAAGCATGTCCTCTTGACTAGGTTTGTTGCCAGTCGACAAGGCTGTTTCACGTCTGGTGCGCAGGCGCAATTGCTGTTGTTTATTGCGCAAACGTAATTGTTTTTGTTGTTCCTTCAGCAATTGCTGTTGCTCATGACTGTTCTGTACCATACCTGCGAAGGTTGCTATGAAAAAGAGAAGAAAAAAAATTAATAATAAATATAAGAATATATGAAAATTTAAAAAAGTTTAAATGGGGAGTTTCTGTGTAGTTGTAGTAGTTACTTAATTTAATTTTGTTTAATTGTGTTTTATTATGCTTTAGATTATTTAATTTTTTTATTGATTTTCGTTATATCTTTTCCGTTTTATTTTAATTAAATCCAATTTATTTTGCTTGGTTTTAATTTACTTTTATTTATCTTATCTTATTTTGTTTTGTTTTAATTTATTTTTTTGATATTAATTTATCTTATTTTATATTATATTGTTTTATTTTATTTTACTTTGTTTTATTTTATTTTATTTTATTTTATTTTATTTTATTTTATTTTATTTTATTTTATTTTATTTTATTTTATTTTATTTTATTTTATTTTATGTTATTTTTTTATTGCTTTTATTTTATTTTATTTTACTTTTTTATATTACTTTATTTGATGTTTTTGTTTTATATTATTTTATTTTATATTTCTTTCATTTTAATTTCTTTTAATTTATTCTATTCTATTTTATATTAATATATTATATATATATATAATTGATTTATTTGGTTTTGATTAATTATTTTATTTGAATTTAATTAATTTGAATTGAATTGATTTAATTTAATTTATTTTCATTTAATGAAATTTATTTTAATTTAACTTAATTTTATTTAAATTGGTTAATCTTAATTTAATTCGATTTAAATTGATTTTATTTGATTTAATATAATTTTATTTATTTTTGTTTTATTTTATTGTGTTTTAGTTTTGTTCATTGTATTATGAATAAAGCATTTTTTTCCTTTTATTTTTTTCATTTGTTTTTATTTTATTTTAAATTCTTTCATTATTTTCTTATGTTTTACACATTTTAACAGTTCTGACCTTCCTGTAACGACAGGTTGTTGTACAAGATGAAGCGATAAAAATATAAATTGCCGGCAATTACCTCCAATCCTACGCTTCAACATAAGTTAAACATACACACATACACACTTTGTAGATGTAATCTTTGTTTTATTGTTTTTTTCTTATTGTTGATCGTCAGTTTATTGCATAATGGCGAAAGGTGAAATTAGTTGGTTGGCCGCCGTTATTGTAGCGAAAGGCACAGTTATAAACGAATGAAAAACGATTAAGTTGTTACTCACTAAGCTGCCATTAACTCGAACAGACTTTGTAGTCTAGAAAAATTATGTAATAATTTCTTATACTTGAACTCTGCGCTTTGTTGAGATAATTGGCAGAATCTTGTATTGGTTTTAAATATTATTTAACTGTTATTTTGTTCATCGCTCGAGAGATAAATTCAGACATGACGATTCTTTCACTCACCTGTCACATTCAACGAGCGCCTCCTACGTCCATAAGAAATTAATGACTTGAATTCACCGCCAATGTCCTCTTGGTCGCATTGTACAGGTTCGCAAGTTGGCATACAGGGTGTGACGAGTGCGCGGAATTGTACGACCTCCGACGAGGGGAACTTGAATGCATCGAAGTGTGAGAGTAGTAATTTGCCAGACAGTGAGCTCTTGTAGATTGGTCCCATAATGAAATGATCCGTTGGGCAACCATTCGCATCGATGAGCGTAATTTCAGCATTATCAGTGCCATCCATAGCGACCAGCTCACGTACAAAGATCTCGTAGGGACTGTGTTCGTCGAGTATTTCGAATTTAAGCGCCAAGGGATCACCAACTTCAGCCGAACGCATGACATCGCTGCCATCACGTGATGTGATCTTCATTATCACATTCGGTGAGTCAACAATCACCTCTTCACTTAGAGCCGGTTCAATATCACCCTTAACACCCAGGTCAACTTCATTTGTTACGGATTTGTTGGTCAAGTCATATTGGCAAGTTACCGCAAGTCCCAAATCGGAGGATGTCACAATTGTATCGTGATGTTGTATTACCACATCATTCATATAACGTCCCGAACCACTTTGACGTACATTACATTCGAGATCTTGATAACCCATACGTAGCTCAAAGTCTAGCGAGTTCTTTACATCGACCGCACAAGATTTCGGTGAGCCTTTAGCGTAGACTTTGCCATCGAATAGTTTGGATGTGCGTATGCGCGCAATCATATCGCCGGCGCCGCATTCAATGGTCACGTTGTAGCAGGAGGAGAGTTCATATGTGGCGGCTTCGGGTACTTCCAAGTAGGGATCTTGCACATCGATAAGCGTGGCGCGACTGTGATGCGAAAGTCGGCAAACCATATCTCCGGTATCGCCATAGTCGTAGGAGTGGCATCTGCATGGAAAGGAGAAATGAGGATCAGAAGCTTTTTTAAATTAAAACATGCGTACACTTTTGTGACTGTCTGTTAGTGTCATCAAATCTGTATAAAAAATTTATGTATGAAATTAATAGATTTTACATAAATTAACCCAAACTGCTGACTATCGGAAACTTGTAATTTGTATATTTTTTTTAGACAAGTCGTTAACATTGTCAGGGTTCGAACCCTGGTTCGACCAACGTCCCAAATTATAGAGAATTAGTTTTTCTAATTGCATATTTCTGACAGGAAATTAAAAGCAAATCTATCGGCCTTTCGGACGCGGCTTAGAATAAACTGTAGGCCACTAAATCACGACGCATAGCACAGCTTAGAGGTGGACCTTAGCCACAAATCACTTCAGCAGTGATCTCATCAATACAGCAAATTACATATGTTTATTTAAAAAAAATCTTTCGATTGTACAAGACATTGAACGACAGGTGAACGAAAAAGCCACCATTCATTCCGAAGCCATTTGAGGTTCCAGTCAATATTATTCAAACTGAACCAACAGTTTCGAGCAATAAATTTGCATTCGACAGAACATTTACTGCTACCGATCTTTCGGTGATTTTTCTTGTATAACATAGCTTTTGGTTCATTCTGCCTAGAACATTGTTCGACGCAAAAGAAATCGCTGAAAACTGTTGTTGGTATATTCCAAAGATGAATGAAGCAGGTAAATTCTTCAAATTTAATGTTTCTATTCAGTAAAATCATATCAATCTTAGTGGAATTGACTCAAGGCCATGATTAGCCCATCACTAGAAATTGTGTATGTAAATATATACGACATTAATCTGCGTGGACCGAGTTCTGCATAAAACTTTAATAACTCTATGCGACCTTTGACAACCCTTTCTGCTGGTATATAGATGTATTCACTTTCTAACTTTAATACTCTCTTCTCTCCACTTAGTAGGTGGCCCAGGATCAGCACTCTTCGATATTGTTTTTTTTTTTCTGAGCAAATTCCACCACATCTAAAAAGTTTCCCACATTCTTTCTGTAGTGACCACTTCTTATGCAACAGCGCCGAATAGCAAATTACGCAAAAATTCCAAGCTTATCTCTAAACTGTCCCCAGCTGCATCCCACTTAGCTAACTTTGAGTGACAGCAACATTTGCTCTCATTGATTTAATCTGCCGCAGGCATTGTGCTGCCAATAACTACCAACAATTGATGACAACAAACATACTTTGACATATCGAACAAACCTACATACAACTATGCATTTGTTGTTGGATATGCAAATCTTTAAAAATATGTAGTAAACATGTTACAACAAACAGAGTTGCTCTTTTCTTGTGCCAACATTAGCATTTAATCTAATCGCAAATCATGAGTTCGCATCAAATTTCAAATTTTGGTAACAAATTCTTAGAGAGAGTCACACACTCGTAAATGCACATTTGCACCCACTTCATGACAACAAATAACGGTTTACATCGGCCTACTTGTCATTGTAATTGCTATAGTGGCATTAGTTTGCACAAAAATGGTCTCTGGTGGTCGAAAATATAGCTCCTCTACGATGAAATAGTTCTTGGGATTTATGTAACTCCTCCAAATTTGAAATTCAGCTTACTCCGTCGATGAAGAAGGAGGGCGTCAGTAATTTATAACTTCATACAGCCTTCAAAAATATTATGATAATCAACCCAGCTTATCTATTTTGAGTGAAAGTTATGAAACTGTGTAAGTCGCTCAAGTCGATAGATATTTTGCTACCATGCAACTGATCGTTCAGGTTATGGTATATAACTCTGCTACTTAATGGGGCAAAAAAAAAAAAAAAACGCGCTCCAATCGTGAAAGGTATACATTTTATCTGCCTTGCATGGCGACTGTTCAAGCAACACTGGTAGCAATATCTTGCGGAGGACAAGCAGTAGCGGCCAATAAACGTTTGTGGTATGCCAAATGTCATGTCTCGTTGTTGCATCATTGCTGTTGACATGCTAATGTATTGGCGTTGGCTGAACAGCGCCCAAACGATGATTAGCATCCACACCGGGCACTCGCGTTGGCAAAGCAGCTGCGCTGCAGCCGCTGAAGATATGAAGCGTTTTTTGGCTATAATTTGCTGGTCGACCGCCTACTGAATGCTCTTACAAGCATCTTGACCGCATTTGGTGGCAGAAAACGGTACAATTGAGCCTAGCTAATATTGTTTTCAGTGTACATTCTTCTATTTAGGTTTTTGTTTTCCACATTTTGTTTTTTTTTTTATTATTTTCTGTAGTTTCTGTATTGTCATTGTTCTGCCAACTAACTAACACACACCTTGTCTGTACCAACTGTCCAAATGTCCGCTTGTCTATTGTTGCTGCTGCACTTACCTGTACGGCGAATTCAAACATAAATCACGACACTCATCAATGCTGCCAACATCCTGATACACCGAATCCACCGTTTTCAATATGCGTCCGGACAAGCGTTTGAACTCGCACAATTTATTTGGCTCATCAGCGCAGTTATTCTCCAGATAATCAATAGTATCGTGCGGCTGAAATGCGCCAGTACCGGCCAAGGTAATGCGATCCATTTCGGAGAGCTCACAAGTTTTTGTGCTGCGATAATAGTTGGCCGATCTGCGGAGAAGAAGAGAGAGAAAATAAAATGGTTTGCGGATAAGCCAAAAGTGTTGTATAAGAAATTAAAAAAAAAGAAAAAAATATTAAACAGAAAAAAAGTTAAAAAATTTACTAAGGTTTTGTTGTAAAATGTTTGCTGTTAACAAGCTGGAGCAAAATAGTTTATTGTATCGCGAGTGCTTGTGCTTTACGAGCAGACGCATTACTCATTGCTACATTTCGCTTCACAACCACTGGCACAGCTCCTTTTAAGCTTTTAGTGCTGCTGTAATTTATCGCACATTAATCTACCATCAGTGACGTTGCAGTGTTGCAACAGACCCACAGCACGTTTTACACGGTCTAAATTTACTATTTATGGCACTAAGAAGACTGCCACAACAACAAGTTGACCGACTGATCTTCTGTGCTGTGATTGTCTCAAAGAGTTAGCGAGGGAGCGCATGAGCTAGTATGTGAGTCAAAGAGTGAGTGGCTAAATGAATTATGCTCATTTTATGGTCGCACATTGTTGCCACATTTCATGCTCAAAGCTTTTGTGAAAAGCGATTTATTTCATGTTTGGGCGGACATCTTGTTGTATGTGGCGGCAGGTGGAATAAGAAATTCGCCCCAGTAAATATAAATACATATGTACGTATGAATGAGGATGCAATAAATAAATCTTGCGTTAAAGTGGCGATTAATTCGTCTTTAAACAGTTAAGAGCAGAGATGGTTAATAGACTAAAATTTTCCTAAATTGTTACATTGTTTTTTGTTGTGTGTTTACTCCCACATAAAGCTTGCAACATAATGACTACATGAGCGACCGTATAATGTTATCGTTTTCTTTAATATTTCATAAACGTTTTCGAGCTCGTAAAAATGTGAATTCTTGCTCTATTAGCTTCTAAATTTGGCAACTATCGATTTTTATTGCAATCTTCCAACCTTATTAAATTTAACAATTTTCTGTATTCGCATTTTGCTGTTTTATTTTATTAATTATTTATCTGATATTTCAACTCTGTTAGCTGGGTAAAGAGGATCGGCGGTGTGCAGCGCAGGCACAGAGCATGATGAAGCGCTTAAGCATTACCTTTGCGTGTGTTCGGCCTACAGCCGATTAAGCGCACATCTTCCACGATGTTTCCAGCTCCTACTTCATGTAGGTGGGCTCGCTTGGTTGGAAGAAACTTAAAGGACATATAAAGTCGAGCGAACTTTTCGCAAACGCATAGTTGGGATATACGGTGGAGCACAATAAGCACCGCTTGCTGTGAAAAGCTTAGCTTCCCTCTTCCTTCCAACCAACTAACTATGTACGGAATAGTGTTTTGGCCTTCATTTAAAGCCAGCAAACTCCCATTATATACCATCGAAATCTATTCAAACCTCACTCGCTTCCATTGTTTACCTCTCCATTATAATATCAAAAAAATTTAAATTTTTGAAGCAAAAACAAAATCGATTATTCCAACTTTCTTAAGAGGAAATTGTGATATAAATGGGTCAATAAAATGATAAATTTTAAAAAATGATTGATTTTTTATATAATAATTGATTTTCATAAAATAATCGCTTTTCATAAAGTTAACGATTTCATCAAATAATTGATGTTCATAAATTGTTCGTCTATTATGATATAATCGTTTTCATCGAATAATCAATTTTCATAAAATAGTCGATTTTGATAAAATAATAAATTTTCATAAAATAATAGATTTTCATAAAATAATCGATTTCATAAACTTCCACTTTTTTTTTTTATGAAATTACATATTTTTATGAAATAGTTGATGTCTTTAGAATAATTTATTTTTTAAATAATCGATTTTCGTGATATAATCGATTTTCATAAAATAATAAATTTAAATAAAATAATGGGTTTTTATGACATAATAAATTTTCTTAAAGGAATTGATATCAATAAAACGAACGGTTTTCATAAAATAAGCGATTTGCATAAAATAAGCGAAAATAATCGATTTTCATAAAATAATAGGTTTTAAAATATAGTAGATTCTCATTAAGTATGAGATTTTCATTAATTAATAAATTTTCCTAAAATAATAGTTTATTATAGAATAATGAATTTTCATAAAAAAACGATTTTCAGGAAATAATACATTTCCATAAAATAATCGATTTTCATAAAATAATAAACTTTAATAAAATAATATTTTTTTTTTAAAACAATCGATATTATGAAAAATAGCGACTTTCACAAAATAATCGATTTCCACAAAATAATCGATTTTTACAAAACAATCGATTTCCAAAAAAACAATCGATTTTCAAAAAAACCAACGATTATCACAAAATAATCGATTTTCACAAAATAATAGATTTTCACAAAACAATCGATTTTCACAATATAATCGATTTTAACAAAATAATCGATTTTTACAAAATAATCGATTTTAACAAATAATAATCAAAAGATTATCAATTTTCACAAAATAATCAAGTGTTAAATAATAATCGATTAACAATTTATTTTCATGATTCATGAAATATTCGTTTGTTTTGTAATATACAATAGTTAAAATATTGTAGTCATTATGACAAATGATTTTTAAGGGAATATCTATTTTCACAAAATCTGATTTTCATTAATAATTTGATTGCGAAAATTATTCGTAAAATCGAATGTATTTTTTTACATTTGTACTTCAATACACACATGAGCGGTTTTGTAAGTACGAGTATACAACGTTCCCTCGAGAGCAACGATGCAAAATTCATCAAAAAGAAGTGAAAGGTAGAAAAAAACACCCACACACCAACGTCTATGTATAAGTGTGATCTAATCAACCAACGAGGCAGCTCTGCGGCAACAAATGCAAATGCCTAATGCCTTGGACCACACGCAATGTTACCTTGCCACCGGCCACCAACTACCAGAAGTTTGCCACTTTGTAATGATACAGATTTTCAGTTGCACGAAAGAACAACTATTTTTAACAAGCTGACATTGTGGCGAACAGTAGCTGCCTTTAACTGGACAGCAGCGCTGCTTTAGAAGAAATAAACATTTTTCATTTACTGTGCAGTTGGTGGTTTTTTGCTTTAGCTATGCATTGTTGTTATTTTTCTTTTACACTACTATTGATCTGATTTCACAAAAGTTCAACTTTAATTGACATAAATAAATGTTATTGGCTGGAAATGAAGCAGGCATGTGGCACTTGTAGTAGTAAAGTTGAACGTCCTTGCCATCAATTTACTATGGCAAAGAGTATTCGGTATGTAAGAATGCCTGAAGGTATAAGATTTTCTTTGTTTCGCAAGCAAAGTTTTTGTGGCAAAATGTGTGGCTGCTGTGCAACTTCCTGGAAAAATTCTAATGCGCTGATAAGCAGAAATGGTCAGGAGGAGGTAGCATACCAGCAGACTAGCAGGTCTTGTTGGGTGAAATTCCACGTTTGAGATATTTGATAGCATACATTTAGCATAGGGTATGATAAAATTCTAGTAAACAATTGTATTAAAGCTGGCCACCATAGCTGAGTTGTTAGAAGTGCGTACTGCCATTCGGAAGACCAAAGTTGAAAGCCTCTTCCGTACAAGTAAAATCAGTTGCGCCCATAATTGATGAGATGTCATTGGCTTATGTCAACTCTTGTTCGTGATGTACAAGTTGCACAGTTTATTGGAACAGGGAACATTTATTGGTCTTCTGAAGATGACCCGAGGTCGGGCAAGAGCATTGAGGTGACCGCGCTGTAAATTATCCGAAATGTTGACTCAATAAGAAACAACTCTTGGAAATCGTTAGAGTATGCAATATCACCATTTTCAAAGTCCTGCACGTTCATCTTGGCTTGACTAAAATCAGCGTAAGATGGGTGCAGAGAATGCACAAGCCTCCGCAAAAAACAGCAGCGCTAAGAGTAATCACGTGCATTTTTGGATCTCTCTAATGAAGGAAACGATGTTGTATTGAGTCGAATTGTAATTGGAGGTAAAACTTGGTTCGTCATTATGAACCTGCATCGAAACCATATCCCATGCAGTGCCATAAAAGGAGTACAGGTGCTGCCAGAAGTTCAAGGTGTCACAGTCAACTGGCAACGGTCTTTTGGGACTCTAAATATTATTGTCTACAGCCTGGGCTAAATGATTATAGACTGTTTTCAGAAATGAGAACGACTTGATGAACAAAAAAATTATCATCGATGATGAAATCCCGCAGGCAGTTTCGGCGTGTCTTGAAGATAAAGAAAAACAAATTTTTAAGGCGAAAAATCTGAAAACTGTATCCATCTTGCATGTGAAACACAGTTGGTCTTTTCATTTCCACACCTTATCCCTCATTCCGCAAATCAAAAAAAAAAAAAGAAAAAAAAACCGCTCCATCGTAGTAAAAGTAAAATATCCAAACAGGAAACAAAATTCTACAACATAAACAGCTATGAAAAATTGCAAATTATAGTAGTAACAACAATTTGTTGCGTGAGCACAACTTATTTTGGTAGCTGGGTGTTGACTACTTGGCTCCGCTTGTTGACTAGTCGCTTGTTTACTTGACGGGGTAATAAATTCAAACGTGTACAAAAACAAATAACTGGAATAAAAACATGGTATAAGTTAATTATAAATCAGTGTTGGAGCGAACCGTTGCTTTAATGTTTTTTTCAGGTTGTAAGCACGAGCAAAGCAAGAAATAAAAGAAATTGCAAGAACAAATCACGCTACAAATTACCATCGCTGGTCACTTGTGGTTATTGCTCCGTCTGTAGAAGCGAGTGTAAGCAACATACACGTATACACACTTTGATAACGGAAGCGCTCAGAATCATCACAGGTCGTATAATATGTATATGTGTGTTATGTTAGTTGGGCAAGCGGCACGCATGCGCAACAAATTAAGTGAAATGAGCGCACGCAATCGCAATAATGCAAATGGATAAAGCAGATGAAGTTGTTCAATGATGCTCCCACCACCGCTGGCATTTTCTACCAAACGCATTTACTCGTAATAATAATCTGTTGTACATAATGCAATCAAAG